GTTAGTTTCCCAATTTCAAACCACTCTAGCAAAATAAGTTCAATGAATAGCTTATTTCTGAGGAAAAGTGAATTTGAGCCTCCCAAATTTCCGTTTTGTGTACAAAGGATGTGGGTTTTTATGGAATTCGAGAAAAGTTGAGATTTTAAAGGGTCGTTACTCTCTCTCTGATGTTCAATTTAGCTTTAAAAGCCAATGAATCCATCCCCCCTCCCCCCCAACAAAAATAAAATAAAATTGTACAGGTAAACCCGAATCCTAAACCCTAAACTTTGTGAATGAGGCTATGATGATATTGTCCGGGAAGGAAGCTTGCAACTTTGATGTTTGAGCCGATTCATATCTTGGCTAGGCAAAGGCAAGGAATTTGTGAGGTGGGTTTTATGTGCTCTCACAAAAAGGCCTCTGCTTTTTGCAGCCATGGTGGATTAGACTCTTTCTGATAGATCAGATGTGAGCCTCTTTTCTGTGTTTAAGTTTAGTTCTACAATGTTTGGTCTGTTTCTTTCGTTCTTTACTTCTTTTTATCATCATGTTGTATGATATTGGTTTGGGATGATTCTAAACAGAATTTGATCCCAGCTGTTTGGGTCCAAAACTTTGTGTTCCTTCTTATATTCATGTTCTTTTTTCTACTTTTGCGTAATATCTAGACGAATCCCAGTTTCAAAAGAAAACTGTTGTGTAACTACACATTTTCCAGGAGTGAAACTATTTGGTATTGATATGAAACAAGTTCGAAGGATATGGAGGTGAATGTTGATACTGAAGCTAGTTGGTGAAATTATCTACACAAGTCCAAGCTTTCTTGCCTTATTTAAATCTTGAAATCCCAAGTTTCAGAGGCAGTGAAGTTTAAGCATAATGATAAGTGAAAATTATTAGAGTTGAGTCATGGCCTGGGTTGGTGAGTCTAATCGGAAGGTCTTCGTTGTAAGGCAACCGATGATTGCAACCACAGCATGTTAACTCTACTATTTCCTTTGATTAAATAGTCGAAAATCTGGGCCTCATCCCCAACTTGGTTTATTTGCATTTTTTTTTTGACAAGTTTTTCTGTAAATAACTTTAAACTAGATATAATGTGTGGTTCTTTGGTCTATTATTTTGAATTTCAGGTTCTCCTTTATTTTGAGTAGCCACTAGTTTTTTAAGGATTGGAGAGAGCTATGGCTTCTCCAATTACCCAGGATCATCTGTCGTTGTTCAGAGCCAAATTTTAACTTTTTTCTGTGTTCTTTTATCTAATTTCATTTTCTTTTGGTAATTTTTATCCCAGTTAAAGCAGTACTTGGAACCTTGCTTTGACTTTCAAGTCTGTTCAACTCGTGGAACTTCAGATTGTGTCGATACAAGTTTGATGTTGGTGCGCTTTCATTCTCTTACACTCTTCGATGAGTGCATGCAGCAGTTCAAGAGATGCCTGTTTGCTCCAACACCTGCAGGTAAATGATTAAATTTGGTCAGTATAAGAACTAGACATATCCAGCAGCTGATTGACCTTTTCAAATTTGAATTTTGGCATCACAGAGAGAAATTTCAAGCAGTTGTATGGTGTTTAAAAACTAAGATTTTGTTGGTTATCTCTCATGCTAGTTGAAACTGAGATTTAAAGTCAGCATAGAGTTGAGCTTTCTAAGATTCTTGGAATAGTTTGTGATACAGTATGACAATAGGATGGATGTTCTTTAGAATTCTTAAAAGATCAAGAATTGTGTGCCTTAAGATCCTGATTTATCGATTGTGAATCAAGACGAAAGGTCGAATGTGCTTTTTCAACACGACCACACAAAATGAGACTTTTCATTGTTACCTAATGATGAAGCAATATGATACAATGAAATTTAAATAACAATCAAAACAAACATTGCATTTAAACTAATAACACAATACAATAAGTAACAACCATACAAACAAGTTGTTATGATAAAAAAAAAAGTTTGCAATATATGAGAACTTCGTGACCATCTTTGCGTACTAAAACAATAATGTCCTAATATGTTCGCTTGATAATTCAAACCTACAATAACCTTCCGTGGTATAGTATATTTCTTGAGATTTTCATAAAAGATAAAGAAAGAACTACTTTTTCATTCCCCAGTATGACCTTGGTCGGCCATAGCGAACTTGGGGATTTGGCTATATATTCTAGTGTTTAGCTGAAATCTTCAACCATTGTTTAGCCAAGAAAGGAAGAATGAGACATCAGAAGGAAAAAATGGGATTTTCTGTAAAGGGTAGTTGCCCCCTCTCTCTCTGTTATGTCAATGATTTCTTTCTTCTCCATTCATTAAAGAAAACAACAGCCCTTTGATTAAAAAAAATCAAGAATTATCTACACATTTGGCAATAGAATTCCAAATATTTTTATACATATGACCCAACAAAGATAGCTGCTTTTTCGAGACTTCGGAACCTAAAAATGGGCTGTGATGAAGATTTGCTTCTTTCTGGCTAACAATCTACTTCATCGTGTTGAGAAGATGCGACCGGTATCTTGGCAGGGCAACCTGGTAAGGCATCAATACGCTAACCAGTGTATCTGCAGCCATGGCCATGTCGATTTCTCTTTGCATGTTTGTAGAACAGCAAAATCTGAGCCCTAAAGTGTACGGCAACCATTTGATAGTTGTTCTTGGGAATTGAGATACCCAATTGCGTTTTTCAGTTTCTCTTGAACACCCCATTTCAGATGCAGTGCTCTATCAAATTTTTAGCTCAAAAATGAGGTAATCGGAGTAAAAAAAGGCTTTTCAGGGTGGTTGGCCATCTCCGGTATGCCAGTGATTTTATTTAGCTCTAATCAACAGCCTTTTTAGCATATGTATGAGGTCTAGACACCTCTGCTGTGTCAGTTGAATGCTCCAACTTACAAAATGATCATCTAGACACCTCTAGGATTTATGTGTTACGTGTGTGCACGAGACACAATGGGGATGAGTTGGAGTGTTTAGTTGCCATTTGAGATCAAGTTGATGTGTCTAGATGTGCACTCTCAAAGTTGGAGTGCTTACTTGTCAGCCGAGACCAAGTTTGGGTGTGTTTATGTATTATGCCATGTATGTGTGTATTGTATGTCTGTTTCTGTCTATCTGTGACTACTTTGCTCCTGGGTGGCTGCATTTTCAGATAAAGCAGCAGCAAAAGCATAGAAAAGGGACAGTTAAGCAGGCTTGCAGGGTTTCTGGTTAAATTATCTCTTATAAATAAGAGTGTTCTATAGAAAAGTGAAGGTTCAGCCTCAATATTAAGAATGAGGCCGACAGAGAGAAAGGGAATTCTTGGAGGGTGGTTGCCCCCTCTGTTTGGTCTATGATTTCCCCATAAACAAAATCAACAACCCTCTTTTGGAAGTACTAGTACTGGTTTCTTGTTTTCTCTAAGTTCTGACCAAACATCCCTCTAATTTTAGCTTATGTTAGTGGACTATATATGCTCTTCCTTTTTCTGCTTCTGTATATACTATAGCTGATTTTTGCAAATATCCACTTTTATGTCCCTGTAAATACAAAGCTAGCTGTTTTTTGTAAGAGTACTAAACCTTATGAGGTGTTCTATTGATGTTGGTTAATCTGAAATAGGAGCAATCCGTGCAAAAACTTGAAAAATAATGGGATGTGATGATGGGTAGCTTCTTTCTGAACTATAATCTACTTTATTGCGTTGAGAAAATCCAACCCGTATCTTTGGCGGAGCGACATGGTATGGCATCCATATGCAAAGCTGTGTCTTGCAGCCATGGCATGTGTTGCTTTCTCTTTGCATATTCATATACAGCAAAATCTGAGCCCTAAATGTTTTGGCTAAAAATGAGGCAATCGGAGAAGAAAATGAGACTTTTCAGGGTGGTCCATCTCCAGTATGCTAATGATTTTTTTCTTAGCTCCAATCAATAACCCTTGTGTATCTGTGACTACTTTGCTCTTGCGTGCCTTCTTTTTGAGGCAAAGCAGCAGCAAAAGCATAGAAAAATGGAGGTAACCCAGTATGAAGAACGGAAGAGGGCCAAATACACCCCTCTACTATGAAGAATGAGGCCAACAGAAAGAGAAGGAAATTCCTGGAGGGTGGTTGCCCCCTCTGATTGGCCTATCATTTCTCCTTCAACCAAATCAACAACCCTCTTGAGATGTACTACTACTGTTTTCTTGTTTCTCCGAGGTTAGCAAACATACTCTGATCTTATCTTATGTTTGTTAAAAACTACTTGGAATTGTCCAAACGCCTACTTGTGGGGAAGTTCCCATCTTTCAGAAGTGGCTATGATGATAATGCTTATGGCAGAATTCTCACAGTTTAGCCCAGAAAGGAAGAATGAGATATCAGAGTGATGGTATTTTTTGTAAAGGGTGGTTGCCCCCTCTCTGCCATGTCCATGATTTCTTCTCCATTCATAAAAAACCAACAGCCCTTTCAGAAGAAAAAAAGAACAAAAATGTTGATTTTTTATATATATATATATATGCATGCAATGACAAAACAAGGTAGCTGCTTTTAATGGGTGATTTACAAGAATGTTGATTGATCTCAAAAAATGGGCTGTGATGATGATTTGATTCTTTCTGGGCTATATCTACTTCACTGCATTGAGAAGATCCGATCCGTATCTTGGCAGGGCGACCCGGTACGGCATCATCTGCAAACCGGTATCTGCAGCCATGGCGATGTCGCTTTCTCTTTGCATGTTTGTAGAACAGCAAAATCTGAGCCCTAAAGTGTACGGCAAAAGCATTTATATGTGTGTGTTAGAGAGTGTCTGTATTTTCAGATAAAGCAGCAGCAAAAACATTGAAAAGGGACAGTTAAGTGGACTTACAGGGTCTCTGGTTAAATTGTCTCTTATAAATCAGAGTGTTCTAGGGAAATCTTAGTAGCTCAGTAGGTTGGTTGGCTAATGGCTACTTGAACTTTCACCTTGTTGGTGAGGGTTCGATTCTCCACCTTGTAATCCCCTCCCCCTTTCCGCTTCTCCTAACCCCAGTTTTTCAAAAAAAATCAGAGTGTTCTAGGGAAATCTTAGTAGCTCAGTAGGTTGGTTGGCTAATGGCTACTTGAACTTTCACCTTGTTGGTGAGGGTTCGATTCTCCACCTTGTAATCCCCTCCCCCTTTCCGCTTCTCCTAACCCCAGTTTTTCAAAAAAAAAATCAGAGTGTTCTACAGAAAAATGGAGGTTCACCCCACTGTTTAGAATGAGGCCAACAGAGAAAAGGGAACTCTTAGAGGGTGGTTGCCCCTCTGTTTAGCCTATGATTTCCCCGTAAACAAAATCAACAACCCTTTTCATAAGTACTAGTACTGTTTCTTGTTTTCTCTAAACTTAGACCAAACATCCCTCTAACTTTAGCTTATGTTTGTGGGATTTCACTGGGTAGGTTGTTGTTTGTCAAAAGTTGCTCGAAATTGTCCAAACACCTACTTGTAGGGAAGTTTCCGTCTTTCAAATGAGGTTGTGATGATAATGCTTATGGAAGAATCCTAACCATAGTTTAACCCAGAAAGGAAGAATGAGACATCAGAGAGATAGGATTTTCTGTAAAGGGTGGTTGTCCTCTCTCTGTTATGTCCATGATTTTTCCTCTGTTCATAAAACACCAACAACCCTTTGGGAAAAAGAAAAGATCAACAATTGTGTAGGCATTTTGCCATAGATTCCATATATATGTATGTGTGTGTGTGTGTGTGTGTGTATAATATATATGTCTATGCTTTTTTCCTTTTTATGCTTGTGCTTCTGCAAGGTAGAATTGATACAACAAGATAGCTGTTTTATTAGGAGTTCAGAACCTAAATAAGGTGTTTAATTGATATTGATTGATCTAAAAATGGGCTGTGATGATGAGTTTCTTCTTTCTGGGCTAATAATCTACTGCATTGAGAAGATCTGACTCGTATCTTGGTGCGACATCATCTGCAAATCGGTGTCTTGCAGCCATGGCGTGTGTTGGTTTCTCTTTGCATGTTCATATACAGCAAACTCTGAGCCCTTAAGTGTATGGCAAGCATGTGATGGTCTTAAATGTATGGTTGTTCTTGGGAACTGAGATACCCACTTCGGTTTTTCAGTTTTTGTTGAACCCCATTTTCAGATGCAGTTCTCCATCAAATTTTATCTTAAAAATGAGGTAATCGGAGTGAAAAGGTGATTTTTCTGGGTGGTTGACCATCTCCGGTATGCCAATGATTTTATCTTAGCTCTAATCAACAGCCCTTTTATCACATCTATATTATATTAAAAGCATGGAGGTCATTAGCGAAATGTTATTCGCTTTTTTTACCCGTTAAAACTAGATTTCACACTAGATGAAGTTGTCATTTTTACTATATTCCTAATACTTAGGACTTTAAATCAACTAAAATCTATGTAATATCCTTCTTAATATATTTAGGACTTCAAATCAACCAAATATGTGTTTGTGTTCTAGGAATGAGGCTTTTCTATGGAACTCGAGAAAGGTTGAGATTTTCTAAGGGTGGTTAGTCCCTTTCTCTGAAGTTCAATTTAGCCGATGAATTTTCCAGTACTTCCGTTACAAAGAGAGAGATTAACAACCCTTTTATCATCTAATGCCAATAATGATCTTGCTGTTGATGATGATTAACCATGGCTATGGTAGCAAACATCTAATTAGATTTTCAGAAAACAGAAGAAAAAAAAAGAACTACTTTTTCCTTCACTGATGTTCTCTTGGTCAGCCATGGCACGAGCAAAAGAACTTGTGAATTGGGTATTGTGCTATATATATATATATGTATAACATAGTGTGTTTTTGCAGTACCCTCATCATAGTTTTGCCCAGGAATGAAGAATGAGACATCAGAGAGCTGGGATTTTCTGTAAAGGGTGATTGCCCCCTCTCTACTATTTATGTCCATGATTTCTTTCTCCATTCAGAAAAAAACAACAGTCCTTTGAGAAAAAGAAAAGATCAAGAAACTGAAAACAAGACCATGCAGGCGTTTGGCCATAGATTCCAAATATATATATGCTTTTTCTGCTTGTGCTTCTGCAAGGTAGAAATGACACAACAAGGTAGCTGCTTTTTTTAAGAGTTCGGAACGTAAATGAGGTGTTTTATTGATGTTGATTGATCTGATAAAATGGGCTGTGATGATGATTTGCTTCTTTCTGGACTATAATCTGCTTGACTGCGTTGAGAAAATCCGACTCGTATCTTGGCAGGGCGACCCGGTAAGGCATCCATTTGCAAATCGGTGTATCTGCAGCCATGGCAATGTCGCTTTCTCTTTGCATGTTCTTATACAGCAAAATCTGAGCCCTTTAGTCTATGGCAAGCGTGTGATTATCTTAAATGGATGGTCGTTTCAGGAACTGAGATACGCAGTTGGATTTTCAGCTTTTGTTGAACCCCATTTTTCAGATGCAGTTCTCCATCAAAATTTTATCTCAAAAATGAGGTTATCGGAGTAAAAAGGGATTTTTCAGGGTGGTTGACCATCTCCGGTATACCAGTGATTTTATCTTATCTCTAATCAACAGCCTTTATATCATATATACAAATAATAATAATTGGATGTCTCTTTCTGTCTCTCAGTCTGTTACTGCTTTTACAGGAAAAGCAGCTGCAAAAGCATAGAAAAATGGAGGTTCAGCCCAGTATGAAGAATGAGGCCAACAGAGAAAAAGGGAATTCTTTGAGGGTGCCTCTGCTTGGCCTATGATTTCCCCATAAACAAAATTAACAACCCTCCTTAGAAGTACTAGTACTGTTTTTATTGTTTTCTCTAAATTCTTTGAGGGTAGTTGCCCTCTCTAATTGACCTATGATTTCTCTGACCAACCAAACCAACAATCCTCCGTTGGTATATGTTTCTATTGATGATTAGTTGATAGCAGCAGTAGTAATACTCCCTCTCTTCTAATTCACTTGTCTTGAACCTGTTCACTATTGATATGGAAAAGAATCCATCTTTCGAAGGAGGCAGTGATAATATTGCCAATTCTGGGCAAGGAGAAAATCCGACTCGTATCTTGGTGGGGCAAACCCAGATTATGTAACTGGTTGATTTTGCAGCCACGGTGTTGTCATCTTCTCTTTGCCCCATTTTACACAGATATGAGCCTCAACATCCAATGAGTTCCAGGATCCAAACCCCGAAATTCATTTGATGGAAACCTTGTTCATTTTAGCTCTAAAGGACAAGCCAATCGGAGGAAAATGGGCATTTTTACAGGGTGGTCGACCATCTCTGGTATGTCAATGATTTCTTTGCTCTAATCAACAATTCTTTTAGCTTTTGTATGTGGATGAAGTGCACAAATAGCCGCTTTTAGACCATTTCCAATGTCATTGGGTGTTGTAATTTCCTGTATTTTAGGACCCTGTTTAGAGAATAGCTGAAGTTTACAAAGTTGCAGGGACTTACAGTTTACAGAGTAATGGAAGCTTAGCCCAGTATGAAGAATGAGGCCAACAGGGATAGGGAAATTTTTTTGGAGGGTGGTTGTCCTCTCTGGCTGACCTATGATTTCTTGTTCAACCAAATCAACAACCCTCCATTGGTATATTTGTGAAACTTCCCAAAAATAAATAAATAAATCTGTTGCCATTGATGTAATGTTGCTAGCAGTAGTAGTAATGTCATACTCTCTCCATTTCAATATACTAGTCTGGAAAACTGTCCACAAATTGGTATAGAAAAGGTTCCATCTTTCTCAAAGACGCAGTGATGATATTGCTAATTCCGCGCTGAAAATCGGGGCATGGAGAAAACCCGACTCGTATCTTGGCAGGGCAAACCCGAATCACGTAACCCGTTCATTTTGCATCCATGGCGTTGTCGTCTTCTCTTTACCCCTTTTTTGCACCAATCTGAGCCTCAACTTCCAATGAGTCACTTCGAGTACGCCGGGATCGAAACCCAGAATCTCATTTGATGGAAACCCTGGTCCCTGTTCATTTTAGCTCGAAAACATGAGGCAGTCAGAGAAAAATGTGGATTTTTTCAGGGTGTTAGACCATCTCTGGTACGTCAATGATTTTTTCTTTGCTCTAATAAACAACCCTTTTAGCTTTGTTTGTGGACGAAGTGCAGAAATTGCTGTTTTAGACCAGTTCCAAGTTCATTGGGTGTAATTTCCTGGATTTACACTGTAATGGAAGCTCAGCCCAGTGTGAAGAATGAGACCAACAGTGAGAAAAAGGGAATTTCTTTGGAGGGTGGTTGCCCCCTCTGATTGGTCTATGATTTCTCCTTTAACCAAACAAACAACCCTCTGGAAAAGTAGAAACAACCAACAATATTTGTTGTCATTGCCTTCAATGGTGGTAATATGATGCTGATGTAAGTAATACTATTCAATTTTCTGATCATTCCGAGATAGCTTAGACCAAATGCTTTTGGTATGAAATACTCAGAGATCTGAAGGTCTCATTTGTTTCATTAATATTTCTTGTTAAAGTTATTCAAACGGACACTTATGGAAAAGTTTCCATATTTTCTGAAAGAGGCAGTGATGATATTGCTTATCTGGGCTGCTGTTTGGGGCATGGAGACTATTTGACCCGTATCTTGGCATGGCAAACCTGGATGGCTTGTGATCGAGTCTTCTCTTTCACATGCAACTGGTTCTTTTGCAGCCATGGTGTTGTCGCCTTCTCTTTGCCCCCATTTTTTGCTAGTCTGAGCCTCAATTTCCAACTAGTCCAACTGGACGTCCCAGGACTCAAAGAGTTCTGAACCTAAATGATGAAAAAATCTCTGCATGCACGCACACACATATCATGAGAAAATGTCCAAAATAGTCCCTTATTGAGGCAGTGATGATCTTTCAGTCTATCCTCTTGAGCTAGTTATTGAGCATTGAGGGTACCCGATGGCAACCTGGCGTGGCAATTACCCGGATGCCTGTGATTTTGTTGCATGCAACTTGGGGATATTTGCAGCCATGACATGGCAGGACTTTCTTTACCTGATCATGAATAGAAGAACTGAGCCTCAATTGTCACATTCATCTTACTCTGGATGTTTTAGTATGGAGGAAAATATTTTAGTGAAGCCGCCCTAAAGTGGCTAAATGGTGTCATATCTACAACGAAGACCTTTGACATGAGGACCATAATGAGGCTGTGATGATTTTTTGTCTTTACTCATCAGATGGTTGAGCCTTGCTATATCTTGGCGTGGCAGTTTTGTTGGGGTATTGTGAGATAGTGGAGCTATTTTTGTTTCTGTGTCTCACAAAGCATCCTTAAGCTTGCAGCCATAGTGGGGTTTAGCTTATGTATGAGAAAAGGCAAATCTGAGCCTCCCAAATCTCTGTTTGTGTTGGAAAAATGAGGCTTTTTATGGAAACTCGAGGAAGGTTGAGATTTTCCAAGGGTTTTTGCTCCCTTCTAAAGTTCAATTTAGCGAAGTGATTTCCCTATTCCTTTGTTACACAGGAAAGTACACCCAATGACCTTGATAATGGATGGTCTTGACCCCGCTTCCCCCATGGCAAACCTTCAAAGTCGAAGTCAGAAGTCAAAAGTTTCCATGGAGTAAGTGGGTCAAAAACCACACACATCTACAGGCCATTCTTGTAAAACACCCTACTTTAGTGCATTGAGAAAACCTGACCCGTATCTTGGCAGGGCGACCAGGTATGGCATCATTTGCAAACTGGTGTCAGCAGCCATGGCGTTGTCCCTTTCTCTTTGCATGTTCATGTACAACAAAATATAAGTCCTAAAGTCTGTGGTTAATATCTCAAATGGTCACTCAACTGATGGGGATTGGCATGGCAGCTTTAAGGCTCTGTGAGATATGGGAACTATATTGGTTGTCTCACTGGACTATTGATGCTTGCAGCCATGCGCCCACGTCCATTGTTTAGCTTTTTGAATGAGAAAAGGCAAATCTGAGCCTCCAAGTATCTCTGTGTTCAGTAAATGAGGCTTTTTATTGAACTCGAGAAAGGTAGTGATTTTCTGAGGGTGGTTATTCTCTTTTCTCTTACGTTCAATTTAGCCAATGAATTTTCTTATGCTTTTGTTAGACAGATATAGTTTAACAGCCCTTTCATCAGCAAAATGTTCTTGATGATGATGATGATTGCCATGTTTATGATAATAATAATATTAATAATAAGGGAACATACATTTTCCCGCCTTCAACTTGTGTAGAAAACCCCGAATCCTCAACCCTAAACTTTGTGAATGAGGCTGTGATGATATTCTCCAGGAAGTTTGAAAATCAGTTTTTTAAGCTGATTCATATCTTGGCTAGGCAAAGGCAGGGGAATTCATGAGTTTTGTTCTTACTTGCTCTGTCACAAAGGTATCTGCTTTTTGCAGCCATGGTGAATTAGCCCTTTTTTCTGATTGATTTTCACTCAAAATCTGAGCCTCTTTTCTGTTTAAAGTTTGGTTCTACAATATGTAGTCTGTTTTTTTCATCCTTCGTACGATCAGCACATATAGGAAGAGTCCCCTTTGAGAAAAAAACTTCTTATGTATCCATCTACACAATTTCCATAAATTGTTAGGTACTGATACGAAACAAGTTCAAAGGGAATGGAAGTGGATATTTAGGATCCATTTACTGTCTTTAACCAATTTGATATTGAAGCTGGTTGTTGCTGCATTTATCTACACTACTCAAACTTTCATGCCTTTTTAGATCCTGAATGCACCAAGTTTCCGAGGCAATGAAGATTATTTATAATGAAAATGAAAAGTGAATAAGATGAGAGTTGATTCATTGCCTGGCTTGGCTAAGCCCAATTGGAAGGTCTTGTAAGGCAATTGTTGCTTGCAACTGCAGCAGTGTTAACTCTGCTCTTCCTCCTCCATTTTGGATTAAATAAGCGAAAATCTGAGCCTCATTCTTAACATAGTTCATTTTCTTTTTTAAACTAGTCTTTCTGGAAAGAGATTTAGATTGCCATCATTATGGAACCATTGAATCAACAGCTTCGGCTGCCACTGCCAAAACCCTAAAGAAAAAATTCTTTTCTCGGTTGAGTACATGCATTTGTTATCTGATGAAGGTGAATCCATACCTAAACATGAGTATGTCAGCTAACAGTCCGTTCTACAGTTCATGTCGCGGCTGCAGGATCAGCGGCATTCTTTTCAGGTGAACAATGTTGCATTTCATCTTTGCTGTGCGGTGGACCGGTGTCATTTCAATTGTTGGTGGTACTAATGGTAAAGATTGCTGGTTCAATCATGATTTGGTTGAACGAAAATTGGATCTGCCCTCATGAAAAGGTAAAAAATGTACCTTCAATTTGCTTGTGTTATTTAAGGTCATTTTGGCCAGTACTTTGAATTACATCTTGGAATATCATCAAACTTGACATGAATTATATCCCAGTACTACTTTATAACTAATATGCCTATGTTGCGCTTAAATCTTGATTTACCATCTTCTATAATTGAACTGCTATCCCAAAGCATGTTACTAAGTAAATTTGTGCATTATTCTTAAATGCCAATGAATGCATCCACAAATACAAGAAGGAAAAACCAGCTTATATTGAACCTGAGGATGAAGTGTAGTCGCCAGTCGGTGACAGAAGAGAATGTAGCCTCAAGAATGAGGCAAGCCCACCCACCCCTCGTGTTGTCGCTGAGCATTTCCAGGGGCCATAACGCCCGTGTATCACATTGCCTCAGCTTGCCTACTTTGCATGAGACCTCAATGATGCAATTCTCTGATTCTTGACTACTGAAGTTCTGCTAATGCTTAATGCACCATGTTTGTATTTTTCTCACCCAAGAATGTTGATTAATATGGACAATATTTCTGTTGACAAATTTTATGCCTTCTTTGAAGTCAAATTTTTCATCTTGTAATTGCAGCATCCACTGGATGATGATCATCAGATCAATCATATCATTTGAATTAGTTGAAATATGGAATATTGTACAGCTAACTCTATTTGCTTTTTGTTAATCTGTTATATATGCTCTCTCATTTCAATTTATTTGTCAGATTTTGACTTGACATAAAGTTTAAAAATGTAAAGAAGATTTTTGAATTATGTGGTTTTAAACTTCAGATATGTGGAAAGTTAGAATTAAAGATTTGCTAAAAAGGAAATGCATTCTTCTGAAACAAATTAAAAAGGAAAGTAAGATTAACAAATTGAAATTGAATTTAAAACTAGCTCGAGTACTTTTTCTCGATTAAAAAAAAGCTCTTCTACTTCACTACAACACATCTAGTGAAGATGCAGATTTTACCCTAACAAGATAGAGAAGTTATATTCGATTTTTCTAAAAAGGGATCGTAATGAATTGCTAAGGGAAGACATTTGTGCCCCCAAGGCCTAGCTTGAGTGGCAAAAGGTGGAGGATTTGTGGCTTAGGTCGCAGGTTCAAGCCCCACACCATGCAAAGCAAAGCCCGGTATTTAAGTGGAGAAGAGTAGAGGGGCGGGCCCATTATCCACCGAGTTTAGAAGACTGTGATTGGTTCAATGGACGGGTCACAGATAGATTTCTCGGTTAAAAAGCTTTATAAAAAAAAAGGGAAGACATTTGTTGCTTAGTCGATAAATAATAGTGAGGTGATAACAATTTAAACTCATTTAGGATAGAAAAATTTGTCCTAACTTTTATTTACGCATTAACTACATGACATATACTTACATATTCATTTTTTATCATTAAATCATAATTAGTTCATACAAAGGAAAAAGATACAAGTTAATACATTGATAATATATTTGTGAATTTTTAACTTATATAAATTGTATTTATAATTATCTTATGAGTGATGTAATTGTGCAAATATTTCTTATAAATCCATAAAAAAAATAAACAGAATACATAATGTAGACACCTATACAAGAAAATTGTTGATAAAATTCTCAAAAGGCACAACTGAATATAAATGTCATGATAGTGAGGTGCGTGATACATGCCGAGAAATTCAAACAATTACTTCAAAATATGTCCCACTCGCTAGCGTATCCAAGTTTTCGATACCAAAAAATATATTTTCGCGATAGAAAAAAGAGATATAAAAATAGAAATAGCTTCCAAAATAAAAAGAACTAAATATGAACAATATCGAATGAATTGGATTTATCTTGTTTCGTTTAAACGAACTTGAATACGTAATATATACTCTCTCCGTTCTATATTAATTGATCATTTTCCTTTTTATACACATTAAAAAATCATAAATAAGAATACAATTTTACTAGTTGACTCCTTGAAAAAATTTCTTAGAATTTTACAAATAAATGTGAACTCTTTCAAAAAAATTAATTGCAAGAGTAATATAAATAATGTTTTCTTGATTTAGTAAAATGAATAATTAATATGAGATAACTATTATTAGTAAGATGATAACGGCGAGCACGGAAAATAAATTGGTTAATTGTTAAAGAAAGTTCCCAAAAAAATTACTTTAAAAATGTAAGGTCCTTAAATATCCACGTCCATCCCATAACATGAATTTTTCTTGTATATATACACATTCACACTCTCTAGAAACCAAAATCCTAAAATCAAAGAAAATCCTCCCTGTATAAAGATTCCATTTTTATCAAAATCTCCCAAATTTTGAAAACCCCATTTGTTAAAACTTCAAAAAAAAAATGGCTACAAAAGTAATGGAAGTGGTAAAGAATTTTGATTTGAAGAGGTATATGGGTAGATGGTATGAAATTGCTTCATTCCCATCAAGATTTCAGCCTAAAGATGGAGTGGACACAAGGGCTACTTATACATTGAACTCAGATGGCACTGTACATGTGCTTAATGAGACATGGTGTAATGGCAAAAGAGGGTTTATTGAAGGCACTGCTTATAAGGCTGATCCTAATAGTGATGAGGCAAAATTGAAAGTCAGGTTTTATGTTCCACCATTTTTGCCTATTATTCCTGTAACTGGTGATTATTGGGTTTTGTATATTGATGAGGATTATCAGTATGCTTTGATTGGTCAACCTAGCAGGAGGTATTTATGGGTAAGTTCCCTTTTCCTAACTTTTGACATTCAAAGTTGTTGTCTTGTCATTTGTATTGACAAGTGGATGAGTTATGGTAGCCTTGGAACGGCGGTAAAGTTGTCGTCTTGTGATCGTGGTGATTATTGGGTTTTGTATATTGATGAGGATTATCAGTATGCTTTGATTGGTCAACCTAGCAGGAGGTATTTATGGGTAAGTTCCCTTTTCCCTAACTTTTGACATTCAAAGTTGTTGTCTTTGTCATTTGTTATTGAACAATGGATGAGTTATGGTAGCCTTGGAACGGCGGTAAAGTTGTCGTCTTGTGATCGGGGGGGCAGCAGGATGGTGTTAACTATATATGTATAAGATAATTTTTTGATTTTTTTATGTACATAGATAGATGGTCAGCCTAGTAGGAAGTATCTATGGGTAAGTTCCCTGTTTCTAACTTTTGACATTCAAAGTTGTTGTCTTTGTCATTATTGTAGAAAAATGGATGAGTTATGGTAGCCTTGGTACAACGGTAAAGTTGTCGTCTAGGGGAAAGGATGGTGTTAACTATATATGTATAAGATAATTTTTTGATTTTTTTATGTACATAGATAGATGGTCAGCCTAGTAGGAAGTATCTATGGGTAAGTTCCCTGTTTCTAACTTTTGACATTCAAAGTTGTTGTCTTTGTCATTTGTTGTAAAAAAATGGATGAGTTATGGTAGCCTTGGAACAATGGTAAAGTTGTCGTCTTGTGATCAGGGGGTGGGATGGTGTTCACTATAAAATGTATAAGATAATTTTTTAATTTTTTATGTACATAGATAGATGGTCAGACTAGTAGGAAGTATTTATGGGTAAGTTTCTTTGTTATCCTTTAATGTTATTGTCTTTTACCATTTTATATGAAAATTGGATGAGTTTTTAGTTGGTAGAGAGAGGCAGAGTCGGGATTTTTAGTGTAGAAGTTCAGGACTACTTTGCTTATTAGGTGTTGGATAGATTAGTTATAGACTCCCTCTGTGCCAATTTTTAAGTGTCTTAGTTTGATTGAGTATGAAGTTTAAGGAACAAAGGGAGGTTTTTGAATCTTGTGGTTTTGTAGTCTTTGAAATGGATGAGTTTTTAGTACATAGATGTGAAATCATGATGAAGGTGAGCCTTGAAATAACTGTAAAGTTTTTTCGGTGTGATCGATGGGTTAGGCTATGTACATCACACACCCTTGGGTTGTAGCCCTTCCCCGGACCTTACATGAAGACTGAAAGCTTTGTGCATCAGGCGACCCGTTTAGATGTGAAATCATGGCCAGTGACTGAGTCTATCAACATGCTAGTTTTTCTGTCATTGTTATGTTGATCTGCTCTCATTTGTAACTTTCTTGAAGAATTATATCAAGTCTTTGATACTTTTAGTTCTTTCAAGCCTGTTATACCTTATTTGCATGAGACTATTTATAATTTGTGGCATCTCAGTTTGCTGTTTATGTTAAATGTCGTGAATGATCCTCGCATTGAGCATGTTCATCCCATTAGAGCTTTTGCTTTCCTAAGATCCTGTACGTTTCATTAACGCTCAGCTGATTAGATTTTGTGGAAAACCATATTTCCCTACCTTTCTCTTCCTCTTCGTATTGAAACTAATATTGTTTACTAATAGAACATTAGGATTATCCCTCCATATCCAATTCCTAAACTTTTGTTCCATGTAAACTAAAGAAGTCAGTAGTATATTTAGTTACACAAACTCCATATTTTATTTCAAGCCTTCAGTTTGTTGGGCTATCAAATGTGCATTTTTTTTTATTTGACTGTGGTGTCTTGGCCAAGTTTGCACACACGTCAATTAGTACCTCCCTCTCACTAAGGCTTGGACAAGTCGAAAGAAATCTCCTAGTGTTTTTGCATGTTATTTCCAGCGGATTCTTGTTTTCCGGCTTAACAAAATGTGTTCTGTTGGCAGATATTAAGTAGGCGAACATGTCTTGATGATGAGATTTACAACCAGCTTTTTGAGAAGGCTAAAGAAGAAGGCTACGACGTGAGTAAGCTCCACAAGACACCACAATCTGATTCCCCACCAGAGAGTGAAGATAGCCCCGAAGACACCAAAGGAATTTGGTGGATCAAATCAATCCTTGGAAAATAGGCAAAAACAGTACAATGGCCAAAAAAGAAAACTATCCAAAGACCAATGAAATAAGGTGTTTAAAACAGTCTTTAGTGTGTTAAATCCTACATGTTTAAATCTTTTATGTTTTTACAAGTCTTTTTCCTATGAAACTATGTATAGTTGATAGTATTAAAATTTTGTGGTTTGTCTTTCAATCCTCTGTCAAATGTTGTGAATAAGTTTTGATTGTTCCCCTTTTTTATGTCCCCGTGTCCCCCTCCGGCTACATGAGGACGAAAAAAGGGAAGGAAAGTATGGTGTTTCTTGCGCTTTTGGCATATCGGGTCCAGTGTGAGGCTTGCACGACAGGTTATTAACTACGTTTTCTTTGACACGAAGTTTCTTGGATACAAACAAACTGGGATTTCACATCAATTGTTGGTATTGATAACTTTGTGTTGAAGCAATAAAGCATAGGGGACCATATGTTTGTTGGATTAGACATTTGGATGCACAGTACATTGTACGTGTTTGGTAGAATTCAGCAATTTCAATTTCTTAGCCACTGATCAAGCAACCTGTTAAAGGCCGTTGCGAGTCGGAGGACAGTTTAGTCATAAATTATCAAAAACCATATTACTGAATCGAATTGGAATTTATCGTACCAAAGTTTATCGGACCTATGAACATATTAAGTCAAATTATACGGTATCAAAATTTATCAGACCTAAGTTCGATTTAGCAGACTAAACTTGTATTAGATATCTACTTTCAATTATCGATTACTAAATTAACGAAACTTATTTTGAAAATACCGAATTGCCAAACCTTAGTCCAGTTAGACCCATGAATTGAACTAAAACCTAAGAGTCGTTCAATGTAAAGTATGAGCATTTTGATAAATAATTCTATAAAAAGAAACATTATTCAGTAATTTATTTTATAACCTACGTAAAATTTAATATTGCTTATACCGTGTTTGGTTGTAAATGTAAGATTGTATATTTTATTTTGTAGAAAGTAAGACATGAAATAAAAATACAAATGACTAAAAAGCAAAAAAGATCAAACTAACTCTTATAATAGGTTTTTAATTTGCTTAAAAAGTCAACAATACAAGATTAAAAATAAAACATCTCTTACATAAAATTCAAAATAACATTCAAACATATAGAAAGAAAAGTTATCAACAGGTCAAATAAAAGACAGTGTACTGGCTACTACAAGGCCAAGGCAGAAACCTCTTCAGCAAGGACTTGATAAAATCCGCATTGAAGCGAGTTGGAGCATTTGCTTTCAACTCTCTAAGCGTCTGTAAGATTTTTTCATAAAACAAAAAAAGTTAGTAAAATATATGCAATTACATACTATTATTGAACTAGATTAGTGTCTGTGTTATTGAGAAATATACCTGATAAGAATGAGATAGACCTCCAACATAATACATTGACCAAACTACCCATTGCATGAAAATATACTTAAGCGTGTTTCGCTGCAACATATAACAAGAATTATTGAAGTAAATTGAACGGTCATATACCATATAAAAAATAAATATAGTTTTAAGTTACATATTGCCGAACATTAACGTGCTATCAAGTATAAAAAACTATGCATATCTTTAATCTTCCTAGATAAAACCCCACTATACCTATAATTGTTTCAACTTAGACCTTTTTAAGCTTCATGCTTTAAGTTTGCATTTTTTATTTTTTTATTTTTAATTACAGTAGAAAGAGTTCTAAAGAAGAATCTTACACTTTGTCAGACTATCAAATATAACTTTACAAGAAGAATTCAACAAAATTGAATTTATTTATATTACCTCTTCCTCTTCTTTTGTTGGTACCGAATCCAATGCAGTTTGAATTTGATGTTCTAGAGGACCATCTGCTTGTAGTTCTGTCATCGCCTGGACCACTGTTTCTACCACCTGACCAAATATACAGTTAAATACTTTTGTTCAAGATGGTGTACTAAAACCAAAAACAATCTCACCTTCTCGGTTTCATTCATATTTCCAATATGAATCAGGAAGTATAGCATTCCGGGACTCATAGAGTCGCTGGATGACCATTGATCATGTGGATTGAATGAGCACACTTCAATAAAATACACCTGAAAAATAAACTAATTAGAAAATATTACCTAACAAATAAAAGGAGATTTACTTCTAAAGAATATATGACGTACCATTCTTTTTTGGTGACGAAGAATGTGCATCACTTTAATTCTCATGAGTGACCTCAAAATATTCAAGAAACAGCGATCTTCATCCTGTCATAAATACATATCCTTTTAAAGTAGAATATTGATTTGTTGAATAATTTATGAAGTTTATATTGTCATACCAATGTCTCCCTCTCTAGATAAAGAGGAAAACTTATACAAATATAAGCTCCATTCCCACTGTCCATGGCCATAGGCACTTTCCTCCTGTGGAGGTTGAACTTTGTTTAGAAATTGATTAAACTCATGTATAGGGACCTAAAAAAAGAGCCGATAGAAAAACAACTCCCCATATTTGGCCACATCAACAACAGTAAGCATGATATCTAGAAAGTACAATAGCAAGACTAAAGTAATGTCATTTCAGAACGACAAGACTAAGGCAAATGTTCAACATGAAATTAAATTAAAGTACAAGTACTTCAAACAAGTATCTTTCAGATTTAGATAAAATGATATGCAAATGCAATGCTCACATTGTCACAGCCGGAGGGAAATGGAAAGGTGCTGGTGTGAGCTTCCCACGTTGAAATTCCATTATAGGCATAGAAGGCCTTGGTATTCCACCCTAAGAACAGAATTTTCTCAAAAAACATAACATACAAATATGACATTACAAGAATGAAAATTCCAAAAGAAACTTATGCCTCAAACAAAAAGAGAAAAACCAACCAAATAACGGGACAGAAGAGAATCAACAGAAGCAGAATCGAACTTCCCAACCATAATAACTCGAAAGCTTGATGGATCTCTAAAGCAATTTTTGAAGTAATTCCATGCCTTTGATGTATCAACTTGGGAAAGATCCTCAGCTTTGAGTGGCTGATAAGAGAGGTTTATTAGCAAGAAAGCACACAAATAAACTAGATTCAAACTTAGCCACTGCCCACATGCCATGATAACAAATCTGATTTAAGCATTTTCCTCTTACAACATGTCAGTCTTTTTGTTCCTCAAAAAGTTTAACAGAACTTATATGTCAAGTATTTATACTTAACTTGAAGGTACACAGCAAAAGACAATCACCATAGCTGTTCAACATAACTCCCTATTCAGCCACCGGGGTAAATTCATATCCTCTAGTTCCATGTATACCATACTATAAATATTCCACAATATTTTGCAACTTAACAAAATATCTTGTAACTTAAGTAAATTTTGAACACCAATGTAAAAGGTGTTTGATGCTCAGATACTAAAAACAGCAACTTATGATGTATGAAGGTTTTCCTTGTTAAAGAAATTGCACATAATTATGAAATGGCACAAAAACAGTAGAATGATATAAAAAGAGAAGTAGGATATGAAATTGAGAAAAGGCTAGCAGAAAGCACAGTTCCTAAATCTTAAGATAACTTGGTAAGACTGTAATGCAAATGCAATGCAGCCACTTTATCTTCAAAGTTAATAGTGGAATGGGGAGGAGTGAAGCTAAGATAGTTATAGGAAATAAACCAAAACTATCTTTCATCATAATTCAAGATTTTAGCAACTTATTGAAGACTAAATATATTATTCATCAAACTTGGAAAGAATTGAAAATTCATTTGGTAATACAGACCTTGTAAATGCAAGATCCACCGCTATTGATCTCCTTGGCAGTATTCACTAGGATATCCTGCAGGCGTTGATGTCTGGGAGACAGACGCTCTCTTAGGTCATCAACTACAGCTTGCAAATCTTCTTCTTCAGGTTCTAGGTCACTTGTGAATAGAAAATATACAATCTGTAGGCATCCATGATCAAACAGAACCATGACTAAACAATAAACCCAACTAAAACATTGAATCAGAATAAGCATGTTAATTTTCTTAAACCATGTGAAACTGGAAAACTTTGTGAAGTAGAGATCCCCCACCACAAAGTTTTCATGAAGAAGAGACCCCCCTCCCAAAACAGTATACAAGGAAAACAGCACAAAAGCAAAGCACCTGCTAGAATAAAATATAAATTGGAACATGAAATGTGGATTTTGGGTAACACAAAGGCAAAGGTAGGCCTAATTCTGGCTCAAATGCACCAACTTTTTTTGTAGAGAACACTGACTGAACTTAATAAGCATGAATCTTGGAAGTTGAATACGAATAACAGATCTACCAACAAACCTGAAGTGCAAGTTTGATATACGATGAGTCAACAAAATTCGCACTGAAAGCTCTTTTATACTCGTCCACCACAACGTTGAAACCGACTTTATCACGTGCAGTAAAAAATCTCTCAAAGCTCTTACACAAGACATTTTGCCCGATTTCACATGAGAACAAGCAACTGAGGAGATCTTCTTTTGCCAGTTCTGAGAGACCTCCATATGAGAATCCACTCAAGCGCACCTGTAAATATTTGAAAGAAAAAAAGAAAAAGAAAACTGAACAAGCAGGACTAGGTGGAGCATTATTTTCCTAAACGATGCAACATTTCCCACATCATCACCTAAGACAATAATAGAATAGATATTTCAACTATGTACCAAATAAATCCCATCTATACAGCTATCAGTACTTTGTAAACCTTCAACACCAAAACATTTAGATTAATTGATGTTTCCCATTTCAAAATCCTAGTGTGTGCGCTTTTGAAACTTGATTGAAAAGGTTGTTAATTGCACTCTAACATGGATGAAAATTTAATTATCCTCTCAGCACACTATCTTTCTGTATTTTGACATGAAAGCAGGTGAAAAAGAAGATGAGAGATCTCACGAAAAAGAAACAGGGAAGAACATGTGGAAGTATAAAATCTAGACTAAATTAATTTATTTTCACCCCTCTGAGAAGGGGGTTTATCATTTGCTCCTGCTGAATTTTGCTGGGTGTTTTCATTTCAACGTGCATACAATGCTTTGATGTATATGCAAGGATGGGAACATCACTTGCAACATTTTAAAATTAAGGTAAAAGGAATTCCAATACTCTGGACAATGCAGGGGATTTTCAAATAACTGAAAAATGAATTAGGGAGATCCGGAAAGAGATTTTATCAGAACTCACATCCTCTATTTCATTTATCTCCCCACAAGCGCTAGAATAACAATTGCATTTTCTTCATCTCTCATCACCACTAGTACTAGAAAAGATACAAGACAAAAAATAGATACAAGCATAGATGCTGGAAAAAGCACTACAATTTACAGAAGAAAATGGGTGCAATGCATATTCTACAAGTGATGCTTCTCAATGTGTCTAGAGCATGGGTCCCCAATAGATACAACTATACTGCATTGGCCTTTATCATAATTTCAAATATTTGGGGTGGTTGCTATGTAAAATGCATAAAGAATTAGGGGGGAAATCTATGTATAAGTATTAGACTTATACAGTCAAAACATTGATTAATTTTCACCCCCATTGAAATGGAATTCGGTCATTCGCTGGATTTTGATGGGTGTTTTATAACTACATGCATGCAATGCTTTCACGTTTATAGGCATCTATGGAAGGATGAATCATCAACTTTCATTATCAGTATATTATTAAGGTATTAAGGTAAAAGGAGTCTCAATACTCTGGAATGATGCAGAGGAGTTCCAATACTTGTAAAAATGAATTCGGGAAATTGGGAAACAGATAATATCAGATCATACATCCTCTTTTTATCTCCCATCAGCACTAGAATAACTTAATTTAGTTTTTCTTTATCTTGCATCACCATAAGCACTAGAAAAGATGCAAGTCGAACATGGTATTCTGTATTCAAAAACATACTCCTAAAATTTCACAGAAACAGTCATTTGTCTAGCAGGCCGCCCAACTAAACGTAAGCAACGGGGCGAATGGAGGGCTACTCTTTTTGCGACAACCCTGGAACATCTATTGCTGAGATGTGGTCTCAGCAAGGGTGGAATATAACCCTTAGGAGGCTCTTAAATGACTGGGAGGTGGATAGAGTAGCCAATTTACTGCAAAGGTTGGAAGATTTTCCGGGACTCAACACTAATCCTGATGCAATCAGATGGAAACATGATAGGGATGGGGAATTTTCTGTTGGAAGAATGTACAAAAGAGACCTGGCAACACACCCGGGGGGCATTTTTGGACCTTGGAAACAAATTTGGAAATCCAACACCCCAACCAAGATAAAGTGTTTCACATGGTTAGTGTGCAGAAGAGCATGTCTGACTCAGGAGAGACTGAAAAAAAGAGGATTTCAGATTGTTTCTAGGTGCTTCTTTTGCCATGAGAAGGAGGAAACAAACAATCATTTGTTCCTTCACTGTAGAGTGACTTCCCAGATATGGTATATGCTTCAAAGCATTATTCAAGATCCTTGGGTGGTGCCTGAGCATACTGCTGACCTACTAAACTGTTGCATGAGAAGAGGGGGGAGTAAAACACAGAAAAAATGGTGGAATCTAGTTCCATCTTGCATATGGTGGTCAATTTGGAAGGAAAGAAACAATAGGTGCTTTAAGAATATTACTAACCCAATGCAGAAAGTTAAAGAAAACTGCATTAATACTTTATATTTTTGGTGTAAAGAAGAGGGTATATATGAAGTAGATCAATTAGTAGATTTCATAGGCTCTTTGTAATCATGACTATTTGGCCTTTGAATGTTTTTTTTGTTTGGTTGCCAGCATACCCTCATTGCTGATGAATACAACTTTACCATTCTCAAAAAAAAATATGACCTAATTCGTTTACCTATACATACACACACAAAAGCATGGCGTTAATGCCTAATTGAGCACAAGATCTAACTAAATTAGGAAACGAGTTTGGTTCATTTGTAAAATAAGTGGATAGGATCTGAGAGTTCCCATGCTTTGTAGTTGAAGCCAGTATGTATGCAACTCTTGATTACAAGATGTACCGCTGAATGCTGCATTGATTAAAAATTACATCAAGACAGCAAGATACATTTAGTAAAAGGATATTCACCCTGATTCAGGCTCCATCTCTAGTATCAGATTGTTTGAACCCTCCACTTCTTCATCTGACCATTGAGCAAGGGATCCCTCTTTTTCCAAATCAGTAATCTTCTGCAATGACCCCTTCATATCCTCTTGTGTCACGAAATTCTTGCTTTGAAGTATGATAACTGATAAATTAGATGCTTTACATTGCAACTCACAGAAGCTCTTCATCTTTTCCAAATTGATACCTGAAAAATGGAGTCTAATTACATCCTGCAGCTGTTAAACAAATCTGTCAATTACATGATGAAGTAAACTACAAAAACTTACTTTTAGTAAGAGCTACTATAAGCTGTGCCTGCAGCTTAGGACACAAATCACATTCACGATAATTGAAGTGCTGCATGGGAAAAGAGAGAGTGAGTTCTTGACACTAATCTAAGAAATAAACAAGTACAAGCCATTTGAGACATACTCTGGTGTAGTTATTTTGAAGTTCCTCTGAAGAATGATCAAGACGATTCCGGTATTCGGCCCCAGCGATTCTCAGCCAATAGACACGTCCTTCACTTAGTTCGTTTTCTTCTATCCCGTGGACTCTCAATCGTGCAATCTAAATAATATGTGCAAAACAATATTTATTGTGCAGTTATGTGCTTCATTGCAGAATAACTTTAATCGATTTATTGATCAAGAACACACCTGCTCTAAAAGATAAAAAGAATAAAGGAAATACTGGTGAATTACCTCCATAAGGAATGTCTCCAACACCTTAATTGTTTCACATCCTTCACACTCCACCCAAACCACAAAATTGCTATACATCTGTGAATCATTTTCTCTAGAGTACTGAATTTCTTTTGAGTTGGTCATGCTTAAAAAAAATTTCTTCAACCTTTCAACAATGACTTTCTGAAGAAGTATTTGTTGAAAGTGTATGAACACCTCATTCACATGTTTACCCCCTTGTTTCTCAAACATAAAGGAGACATATACCTGAGACTTCCCCCACTTCACAAACCAAAGAAGAAGAAATGCATGCATTAGCGATGATTTTCCAGAAATTTGACAATAAGAAGATACCTCATGAAGGAGTTCAACATTGCTAAAACCAAAGACTCTACAATGAGCATGCAGTAAAGAGACAAATTAGGTCTTAACGACTACCTTCAGAATTTCACTATTGACGTGTGTGGTCAATCTAGGCTCACATTGTTTGAGAAGAGGGAACTCCAAATGTTGTGGCGCGCCTCTTGGTTGCCTTTCAAAGTAGGTTCTAATCAAACCAATTATACTCTACAAAAGGAAATCGAAAGGAAAACGAAAAGAAGATGAGTAATTTATGACTGTTGAATCAATACATAAACCTAGAGAAAGTTTATGACAAACCTGTGTTTCAGTTACATCACCCACAACAATAACAGCCATATTGTTTGGGACATACCACTTCAGGTAAAACCCCTTTACAATATCCACGGAGAGATCTCGTACATTTTTTTCTGTGCCACCCAGAGGCTCAGCGTACTAGAACACAATATGGACAGCATCAGTTGACAAGTAGCTTATAGTACATTTAATGAACCAAAACAGGAAAAAGTTCAAGTAAAGATCAGAAGACACATGCAACATGTCCTTCAATCTATATTAAGAAACCGTAATGTGTAGTAACATACATGTTGCATATCTCCCCTTCATGTACTTTAAGAAGATGCAAACTAATCATAAACTGTCTCAAATTCCACATTTCAAGTCAATGTTATACCCTAATTAACAGTCTAAACAGTACATTTAGGGATTGTACATGTAAATAGAGATTCACACAACCTTTGTTCCTTGATATAATTGAGCACTAAAAATGCGACTATGTTGTTTCTCAACAATCTGAGAACCATGCCAAAGCTCATCTATTACGATTAATTTCTCTTTCTCAAGTTCATCAGACGTGACAACAAGCTGCAAAATAAGTTTTTAAATTAGGAGAATAACCAAAACACAAAAAACAAAAAAAAAAACAAGGACGATATGAAGTAAGAACCTCTCGAGAGATTGCAGCAGTTAATGCAAGTGCTTTCCTCAAATCCTCCGTGTTGGTCACAGAAAAGTTATAACTTGTATGGTCCCAATATGTTTTGGCCTGTTGATGAGCACCACACTGATGTTTGAAAGCTTTTAAATATTCAGTCGCATCCGAATTGGTATATCCATATCCCTCCAGAACTAGATGCTCAATAATGTGCGCGACACCACGTTCATTTTCCTCTTCACAAACAGCCCTAGTCAAGAGTCATGAAAAATTATATCATAGGGCAAATCCAAATGCAACTATTATACATTTACAGTTCAATTATTTTTCAAAATAGATAATAAATCCTCCATATTCTTTTATTTACTTAGACATTGGATATGCTGAAGCAGTAACTAGAGTATGATGTAAAAGTTCGTAATAAGCAACAAACTATTTGGAAATGTCATTGTTACTTTGAAAGAAAACAAAACCACAGCATGACACTATCCAACTCAACCCTCCCCTGTGACAAAGAATAACTGATCACCATGATCCAATCACCTCAACAGATGTTAGCTAGTTACTAGAGTTTAGTTACATTCAAACTCAAAATATATACATCCATGTATATTCCCTGTACTTGTCCTCTTTTCAAGTTCAAATCTCTAGTAAACACCAAATAAATCTATATATATCTAGATTTAGCACAGTGTGCAGAACTGTTAACCTTAGTTAAGACACAACCTACCAATCCACATCCAACCTACATGTACATCTACAGATTTAGCACCATGGCTGGTGCACCATCCTCCTCTACAGAAGAAAACCTCCCAATCCACATCCAACCTACAAGTAGATCCAAACCGACGAGCCTGCTGCCTCAACTTCACAGGTCACCATCAAACTATTTTGTGACCCATAGGCCCATTGTAAGAAAATAAAATCATAGTATCTCACAGCACTTGATAAAGCAAAAACAAAAAATTACAGGAAGCTCGAAAATAGTACTATATTTATAAATACACTACACAAATGCTAGTTATTCTGAGAATGAAAGCTTCAAAACAATAAAAAATCACAAATAACTCCTATAAATCGAAATACTCAGAGGAACGAGATTACATACCCTGCTTTTACGATCAAGTTCACAAGTATTATATCTTTAGGTATGCTATTTTTCTTGACATAGTATGTTAACCCATTTTGTAGGACGCCATGATGTTCTACTTGGAATGGAGCACTGGACAACTCTTGCTCATAATCCAGCTTCTCTATGGGCTCTAAAAGTTCAAACTCATCCGGCTCATCATAAGACTCGACTTCCCATTCTTCGTCTTCTTCTTCCTTATGCTCCGAAGGTTCCGGCGATGGTTCCATATTCACCGATTCAAAGCAAATTGTAACTTAGCTCAATGTTTTTTTTGTGCTGCTCTTCTTATTCACTTTCTCTCCCTCTCTGCTCACACACTAAGTACCTCTACTTTTATATGTAGCATTTTAATTTTGTGTAGAAAAGATTTTCGTAAATATAAATTTAATTTGTTCAAATGGATAGTACAACAGCTATTTCTTTGCCACTGAGGAGGCCTGCCCCTGCACCTGCACTGCACTGCAGTGTACTGGGGGCTAGTCATCTTGTTGCACAAGAAAATCATACACTAGTGTCACATATATTATTATTATTCCACGTAACCACTTTGATTAAGTATTCGTTTGGACTCGAGATTTTGGTATGGATATATAACATTTGAGAAAGTTAAAAGAGGTTATTCGAAAGATGCGAAGGGAGAGAGTGAGGAGACTGAGTGTGTCTACTATCGAGAATTAATTTGTTCAACGGCAAAAGTTATTCATCTCGTAAGGGAATTAGTGAATAGAAGGAGAAAGTGTCACTTATTCATTGATCAAGAAGATCGCATATGACAAAGGGGTTCTTTAAAGATGTTTGGAGACTAAAGGACTACCCATACCTTACGTTCAAATGTCATTTTTCAATTTTAATTCAAACACTAATTCTTTTTTTTCAAGCCTACTAATTATGAATAGAAAAAGGCTCAGATAATTTATTGAATTTTGAGAAGAGGTTTATTATGTCATTTTTATTTGAGAAAAGGTTCGTACGTGTCATTATTTGTTTATTGAAAATAGTTTCGATTTTATAAAATTATTTTTCACACGTGTTCAATTATGATTCAGTCACGTCATTAATTACATTATTTTTTTAAAGAGAAAAGGCTCGGATTAAATATGCTATTGAACTTTGAGAAAATGTACAAATATGTTATCGAACTTTGAGAAAAGACTCATATGTCATGCATTAAAGTTTTAATCGGAAATGTTTTAAGTTAACGAAAAAAATAATATTAATAAGCCTTTTTTCAAATGAATGTGACATAGATGAGTCAAACTCCTAATATATAGATTATATAAATGAGAGTTTCCCATTTTTCAATGTTTTTTTCCTATTATGAATTTATGACTTTGTTTCTTGCATTAGTGGATTACTCGAGCTGTCTAGCAGATTAAATAAGTTGCCTTCGTCAACTTATAAAGAAGTGGACTCGTTACAAGATGTTATTAATGTTATGTCAAATTTCTCATTGAATGTTTGTTTTTTATATATAAAAAAGTTGGAAACAAAAAACATAATACTAGCATTTATTCGCATAGCTATTTCTTTTATTCAAATTTTAAACTACTGCGTACGTTGGCTCCTATTATTTATTTTTTTCTTTCAAATCAAAGTCTTGCATCAAATTAAACATGAAGTACTTAAAAAATAAACCCAGTAATCTTTTTTTTTATTTCACAATATTTTTTTTCTTTATCCTATATTAATCCAAACAACCCTTTTTACGTCTTGCATGCATGGTGGTGCTCTTTCTTGGACGTGCCATACTTGTTTAACAAAAAAAAAGAGATTAAAATAAATAAATGAAGAGTAGGACACATTCTTTAATGTTGGAAATATTTAACAAGAGGGTATTTTTGGAATTTAACAAGAGGGTATTTTTGCATGCATGGTGGTGCTCTTCTTTATTCTAATGTATATTTATAGAAAGTTAGGGAATTAATAATATAAAAAAAATTATATGCTTTTTGAAAGATTTGAAGTTTGTTATAAATTTATTGAATCAGTGGGTTGTCCATTTACTTAATACATGAACTACTTATGTATACATATTTTAATTTCTAGGTTATATGAATCATGTATTTATTAATATTTAACCTGGTGACTTTTAAAGTGATTTCTCAACCTATTAATTGAGTTGTTACCTATTATTGTAGGCAAATACATCGGTGGCCCCTAAAAGTTGGCATCAAGTTTCACTTAGACACCTCAACTGGACGATGTTCATTTAGACACCTCATGTAGAATCTCATTATATCATTTTGACACTTTTTGCTAACATGTGAAAGTGAGTGTGATACACTCAACAATAGCATGTGAAAGACTTAATTTAGTCATCTTTATTTTAGGAAAAAAGGACAAATATACCCCCCGAACTGATGTAAATGGTATGTGGATACCCTTCGTCATATATACTTTTGGGACATAATTGGTCCTCCTGCCGTCAAAAAATTAGAGCATATATGCCCTTCACTCTAACGGAAGACTAAACAGGACACGTGACACAATCTTATCCGTTGATCTGATATTTAATAAATGTCGGGTCGGTAGATAGCATTATGACATGTGTATGTCCGTTAGTATAAATGGTATATATGTTTTAGTTTTTGAACGACTGGGGCACCAATGTCCCAAAAGTATGATGGAGGGTATCTGCATACCATTTACTACAGTTCAGGGGTATATTTGTCCTTTTTCCCTTTATTTTATTCTCTTCTTCTTCTCTATTTTTCAAGTCACCGCCTTCCACCATTTTCAAGCTTAAACTCCTTCAATGGAGGTAGATTTTTTTTATAAAAATTCGTTTTCAAGTCATTTTTTTCTTCATTGTATATTGCTTCTTTAAATCTATCATCACCTCCCTCCACTTTTTTTGCCAGTAAAATGAATAGCAACACTTGTATTTCATATTTATTCTCTCTTTCTTTCTTCCTCTCTCTCTTTTCTTCCCACAAAACAACACTAAAAAGAAAGAAAAATAATAAATATGAAAAATAGTAAAAGAAATAATTTTTTTTTTTAAAAGCACAAAAGAGATTTTGACATGTAACGAAAGAGACGATTTCCGATGGAAAATGAGGATGAGGTACCACCGCTCCCCATTTTTTCCCCTAAAAAATAATACCAACACTCATATTTTATATTTTTTTTTCTTTCTTTCCCTCCCTCCCTCTTTCTCTCTCAAAACAACACTAGAATAGAAAGAAAAAAAAGATTTGATACAATGTTAAAAAGTAGATTAAAAAAAATTAAAAAAATTATTGGGTGTAGAGGAGAAGACAACTATCATGGTGGGTGGGGGGGGGGCAAATTGATTTTTTAGAATATTATTTTTATTTTATTTACTAAATAGATTTTAAAATTATTTTAACTTAAAATAACACATGTAATCATTTTTTGCTTGTATTACATTCACGTCATCAACGAGTGTATTACATTCTCCTTCAGCTTTTTTGCTTATTGTCAAAATAATACAGCGAAACCCTACATGAGTTGTCTAAAATGAACAACGCCTAGTTGAGATGTCTAAATGAAACTTGATGCCAACTTTAAGGGGGCATCGATTGAACATATTTGCAACATATGATAAGATGATCTCTATACTCTAGCTATTCTCCATGTATTTGGCTCATCTTTCTTGTAATATATTGCTTATATTTTGTAACAAAGTTGATAATTATTGGGTACTATGTTTATAGTACTTTTTATGTCATTCATAATATGTGTTATTCTTTTTGTCTCAATTTATATGGCACAATTTTGAAAAAATCAGTCAAAAAAAATTAAAAGCTTTTGGAATATTTGAATTTGTTAATTATTGAGATTTATAATACTTTTTTTTATGTAATTTTCAAATAATATATGATTCTCCTTTTATTTCAATTAATGTGACATTGATCAACCAAATTTTTATATTTTAAAAATATTTAAGTTGTTAATTATTTTAAATATATAGTACTTTATGTTTTTTTTAAGTATGAAATTGATTTTTTTTAAGTTGTTAATTATTGTGATGTAATATTATATCATGAGTCATCATTACTGAATACAACAACAACAACAAGAAGGTTTTTATACCAATAGTCACTCAAAGTAAGGTTAGAAAAAGTAGTTTGTATATAGAATGTATTTCTATTTCACAGATAAAATGATTGTTTCCAATAGATCTTTATTTTGAGATGGAATATTTTAAAATAGTCTAGAACTTTTTTTAATAAAAGTACAAAAAATAATCAACAAATAGTAACAAAATAATATAATAGCAAGAGAATCAACAGATAGAAATGGCAACAGGGCGGGATGAGGTGGGTTTAAGGTTGTGAGGGGCGGGAGGAATGCAAGACAAGTTGAAGTGATTTTTTTTTAAAGCTAATGTGGTCGGGCGGGTTGCGAGTATATGTGTTTTTATGCGGGTTCAAATTTAATTTTAATTTTTTATATGTTGTAAGAGTAATAGAATATTAATTTATTAATATAATTTCTTTAAAACTAGTAAAATATTTAAGATAGTAAATGAAAATAGTTCAATGAAAAAATAAAATATTTTTATTGAATGGTTAAATAAAAAAACACCTCGATATACCTCAAATTCTCTTGAAATCAGACATATACCCTCTGATCCATATAATAAGATATTTTTATTTGGACATACATGTTAAGAATTTACTTCTCTATATAAACTATAAGATTTTTTTTTTAAAAAAAAAAAGAATGGGAGGGAAGGAAAAATAGGAAAGAGAATTATAATCTAGAGAATGAAACTCTCATAATAAGATGAAAATTTACAAAGTCAATTAACTAGGATATTAAGATTTCCTGCAGAGTAAGATGGAGCTTTTTTTTTAATTCAATAAGTAGCTACATTAAAATATGCTTATGTGGAATCTGAATTTTTATTAAGTTGATTCAAAAAGTAAAAAAAGTTAAAAAGGAGAGTTCAAAATCAATTATATAATATACATAAAAAATAATTTTAAGCGCAATAAATAATATAATTTCTCTCAAAAAGTGATTCATATGACCCCTCTATCCAACCTGAGTCCATCACTAAATATGTTGTACTTTGTTTTACAATAAATATGCGCATAAATGTATCATAATTATTAATTATTTTACCATATGATTATTCATATAGTATATCAATATGTATTGTTATTTTATATTTGCCCATTAAGATAACTCAAAATAGAATTCAAACACACAGAAAATATAAATTGAAAAAGAATTAGACAAAAAAAACAGCCAA